ATCTTGATCAGAAGGCAACAGGAAATGGACTGTGACACTGAGCGAAGTTTAAGCTTAAAGACCTCAGAGCCTGGCCCCACAGTGACACACTTCCTTCAACAAGGCCACACCTACTTCAACAAGGCCACACACCTCAATTGTACCACTCCCTAAGAGCTTATGGGGACCAATGACATTCAAATTAACCACAGGATGTTTCATTAGGAATATGCTTACTGGGTTAAAATTTGGTGTGTGAGTGGAACTAATTAGATCTTATAGTGATAATGAATTTGAGTAGAACCTGTGATTAACGTCTGAACTTTCACAGTTGAAGCAGAAAAGCAATAACAGCTCAGAGAATTTGCTGAGTTGAAAAATTAAGGAACATTTCCTTGTGTTAAGGCCTAGTGTTATTGGTGAATAAGACATTTTTGAGCAGCGTATGAAGACCTGACACCTCGTACCCTCAGATTTCCATCAACAGGGATATTCCATTCTGGAAGATGGTGGAAGTTTTGCTCTGGCCGGGATCACCGGAAGGCCACCTGAACAGTGTTTCACATCGGAAGTGATACTGGAGCAGGGAACAGGTCACACACTCCCTCCCTTTGAAGGGACAGCCCTGTGTGTTTAGCATCATTGGTTCCCCTGGTGTTTTTATTTGTGAGCACAAGGACCTTCCTCACTCTTTTCCCCGTGTGAGAACTGGGAGTGCATGGCTCTGTGGTACTAAGCTGAAGAGACGTTGCAGTTCTTGTTCATTGCTCATGGTGTGAGAGTTCCGTAGGGTCAGGATTAGAGGTGGGGGAGAATCCATGCACGAGGGTGTAGAGGTTGGAGATGCAGCATGGATGGCAGAGTTTTTGATGTGGGGCGACTGGGCAGATGATGAGGCCCTTCTCTGCGGTAAGAATGCACACAGGAGTACATGGAGGGGCAAGAGAAATTCAGTGTCACACACACTGAACTTTAAATATTAGGATGTGCATTGCAGTGGTTAAGGGTGGTAGCATCCCAGGGTGGGGGTGGAGCTCAGTGGGAGAGTGTACGCCAGAAGTTATTTTCTGAGATAGGCAGGCATGACTTGTTTCAAGCTAATACCAAGGATGCTGAATTTGAATGAAAAGAAAGGACTGTGAGTTTTCTGTAGTAGGTGGAGCTGAGGGTTGGGCTTGTGGACATGCTCAAGTGTACAACAGTTGTGGGTACGTCATTTTTGAGAAGTGTCCTATAATGTGAAAAGCTGAGGTCTTTGTACCCATAGGCATTGGTTAGGAAAACATACCTGCAGGCCTAGCAGACTTTGCTGAAGCTGAGTTATTTCAGTGGGGGAAAACCGAAACTTGAAAGTGAGGAGTGATGCAAGGTCCTTAACGGATGTTGTTTCTCATGGGATGTGATTTCTGGCAAGTCTGGAGCTGTGGGAGGCAGAGCAGGAGAAGTGAGGCGAACACACAGCGCAGGTGGAAACGCTCAGCAACTGGGAGATCAGTTCACTGCCAATGGCCAGAGGAGCAGGAAATAAGCCGGTGTGCTAGTCTTCAATGGAAACCGTGGCTCATGACATAATTAAATGTGCATGTTTTAAATCAGAGTTTAAAAAAATAGTGTGTATGTGTGTGATAGTCTGAACTAGTATGTGTGTGAGTGGCAATCTGGAGTTCATGTGTTGGAAGTGATTTAATAACCAGACCTGGTTTTCCTCTATAACTGTCGCAGATCTGTGAACTCTTGCTCAGCACCTCTCAGGTAGACCAGCACTCCCACCTGTTACACTGGCACCTCTTCACTGAAGTGTGCTGTCTTTCCTAGTTAATGGACAACTATTCTTGTAACCAGACTGACCCAGAATATTCTGGAATCAGCTAGAGATAGCAGAAATAATCCTCTATACATCAAGAACTGGGAAAAAATATGAAGTGCAGGTTTTTGCTTCTCCCTTTGTAAAAAGGAATAACATGACAAATAAAATATATTCAAGGTGTATTTCCTGTGTGCCAAATGTTAATAAGCCATGTTAATGCTGAATAAAATATCCAGCCGACACTGACCATGTATTTCCTGTGTGCACAATATGATCACACCATGCTAATTTGGAATTCTCATACACAGTGTAATAACTCTCATAATGTTACCAGGGAGGGAACATACTTAAGCAGCTACATGATTTGAGTTCGTAATCATGAAGAAGCAAATTTGTGTGGGCAGTGTCACTTAGTCATCTAACAGAACTATGTCTCAACATGCTTGGAAGTAGTTAAGTAGAAAAGAGCAGTAGTTGTTTTCCACATGGAAAAATAAAAACAAAATTCTTCAGTAGGTTATGTGATATGTCCATGCACATAATTCTTTCCCAGGCTGTGGAGATTAGCACAAGTTCCTAGGGAAGATGATTAAAATGGAGACAGTGCTTCTCTTCCAAATCCAAGACATTTTAAGGCCAGTGTTTCTGACTTTGCTCAGCTTGGAGCTCCACCAAGCACTGACTGCCTCTGTAGGACCCTAGGTGAAGAGGCAGTGAGCCCCGCCTTCCATCTGCACCAGCAGATATGGTAGCATCTGCCAGCCTGGGAAGAGGGTTTGTGCTCAGCCTTTCTGCCTCAGGTCCTTGGTGTGGCCATGCCCCGGCTCTTGTGGTCACTGGGAAGAACAAGGGGCTTCCTGTTCGAGTCTGGCCCAGCCCCGTTCTCCTCTTTCAGTTGTTTGACTCTGTATTTGACCTCTGAGTTCTTTGTTGTGTTTATAGTGTCTTAGGGAGATTTTGGGTAGAAAGAGGCCTTAAACCTTCTCATCAGCCTCCTACCTCCTCATTTTATAAATAAAGAAGATGGCTCTCAGACCAGAAGCAGATCTCATTGCTGTGGTCTGCGCCTTTGTTTCTGTTGCAGGGGGTTTGTTGTGACGAGTCTTTTTCAGTCCCACCAGCCATCGCCCAAATAATGACACAGAGACTTTTTGTTAATTATGAAAGCTCGGCCTATAGTTTAGGCTTGTTCCTAACTAGCTCTTATAACTTAAATTAACCCACTTATATTAATCTATGTTCTGTCACATGGCATTACCTCTCTTCCATCTTGCACCTCCTGTTTCCTCTCCATGTCTCCTGGCTTCTCCAGCGTGCCTAGATTTTTCCTTCTCTTCCTTTCTCTCCCCAGAAATCCCACCTAGACTTCCTCTCTAACTATTGGCTGTTCAGCTTTTTATTATACCAATAACGGCAACATTTTCACACAGTGTACAAATATCCCACAACAATTTGTGACCTCCCCCTCTCTCCTTATACTTACACACACACACACACACACACACACACACACACACACACACACACACACACCCTCTCCTTATTTGCAGATCTCTTCCAGGTCCTGGCTTGCTTACTCTTCATCATTTCTTGGTTTCAAACATTGCTCTGATGGAGGAAACAGTTATATATTAATGTTCATCCCAGCTGTGGAACTACTGAGGAGACCCTGGTGAAGTCACTTTGCACCCTTTATAGTTAGCATCAGGCCAAGAAGGACCCAGATGGAAGAGTTGCTCTTGGGACAGTGCACACCATGGAGATCCATGTTCTTTTCTGTCATTCAATGGAAGGAGTTCTCAGAACTGTACAAACAAATAAAATACACATGAAAATTCTACTAAAACTGAACAGGAAGTCATAAAACATTTATAGGCTATTAGCCAAAAATGTTACAAAATATAGTTAAAAATGAGAGAGGGCACTGTTCTCTTATTTTTTTTTTTTTTAAAGATTTATTTATTTATTGTGTATATAATGTTCTGCCTGCGTGTATGCCTGCACGCCAGAAGAGGGAACCAGATCTCATTACAGATGGTTGTGAGCCACCATGTGGTTGCTGGGAATTGAACTCAGGACCCTTGGAAGAACAGCCAGTGCTCTTAACTGCTGAGCCATCTCTCCAGCCCCTGTTCTCTTATTCTTGACATGGAATACTTGTTGGATCAAATTCTGCATAGAGTAATTTATAGCTTTTACTTCTGATCTGTTTTCATCTGGGAAAAAAAATGCACTTAAGTTGCTTTAAGAGGCCTCATTAGCAAAGAATGTAGACTTTTTAATGCTGCTGAGTTTTGGTATAATACACAAGCAGGTTCGCACTGCCACTCCTGGCATGCAAACAGATCTGCAAGGCAGTGTCAGTGGGGTGAGCATGAGGGTCACCACAGTGTGCTGTGTCACCTGGACTGCCTAGTTTGTGGTGTCCCCACTAAATAAATTTAAACAGTACAATATAGTTACCCTAAATTGTGTGTGTGTGTGTGTGTGTGTGTGTGTGTGTGTGTGTGTGTGTGTGTGTGTGTGTATATAGGCTTCATCTTATATATATAAATCATGCTTGTAAAATATTCTGTGTTGACTAAAATGAACCACTCAAAAGTTACTGTTTCCGGGACAACTATATAGAAGAGTGGGTAAAAAGCAAGTTGTTGACTTGAGATGAGAACTGTACTCTCAGGGTACAGTAACAGCACGTGTGTAGTTGTCTGACTTCTGCTAAACAGAGAAGCTTATTAAAGCAAGTGCATTAAACAGAAGTTCAATAATTTATTACAAGTACAAGAATAAAAGCCCAAACAGTATTTTATGTATTTTGTGTGTCAGCGTGCCTGTTCCATGAAGACCTCTGTGAATTCTGTTTTACTTGTTTCTTGTACAATACCAATTCATTGTGCTGCCTAAATTTGGAGTGGTCTGGATCCCTTTGCCTGTCAGGGTTTTATTGTTGTTTATCTTTTTAAGATTGTAAAATCAGTGTGTTTTACATTAAAAAAAAATACATTAGATGCTTTTAACTTGGATACAGATAAGTCAAATCTGAATGCCTGTTTGAAATTCAATTTTCCTCTGTAAAACAGGAGAAATATATTTAGTATAAAAAGAAGAGTTACAGGGATTAAGGAAAATCGGATGTAACTACTTGGCACATAGTAGACTTGTGCTCTCTCAGCTTGCTTCCTTCCTAATGGTTCGATGCTTCTGTTATATTTAGATATCTGACATCCATGTAACTGGAGAGTCCGAAGACATGTCTGCGAAAGAGAGGTTGCTGCTGTGGACACAGCAGGCAACAGAAGGTTATGCCGGGGTACGGTGTGAAAATTTCACTACCTGCTGGAGAGATGGGAAACTGTTCAACGCCATCATCCATAAATACAGGTATGGAGTATGTGTGTGTGCTTTCCCTTCATGTAAATACGGGCATCCTTTCATTTCTAACACGTTAAGTAACATGTTACTACGGAAGAAGCACAACATGCAGTCCATGTGCAGTGTAGAGAAATTCCAGATAAAATGAAAGACAGCGCAGGCCCAGTGCTGAGTTAGTACTCTAAACTGTAACACATGCACGTGTGCGAGCATGCACACACACACACACACACACACACACACACACACTCAGACACACACATGGGGGGTCAGGCAGGCAGGCACACACACAGGAAGATGACAGTAGACAGAGGGCGACAGAGCTGTACCATGTCTGGATTTGTTTTCTACAGCCTCGCAGGCATTAAGCTCTGATGCCTACAATCTGTCGGTCAGTGATCTAGAGTTTATCTATAGGGAAATGATGAGTAGAGAGGCAAAGGTCTGTAGTTCACAGACTTAACAGCCCAGGGATTGCCAGGTCCAAAATAAAGAGTGACTGGACAGCTGATCTGGACCTGGTGAGCAGTTTTCCTATGAAAATCAAGTGTTCCTGTTAACATTTGAGCTAACACTGTCTAGCCTTGTTCTAAGCAATGGTTAGTTTAATTCTCACACCGTTCCCTCTTGTCATCCCTAGTTACACATGAAGCCTAGACACTGGGTAAATATTTGCCTAGTCACAAGACTAGCAGGCGGTGGACTTGGGATTCAAACCTGGCAGACTGGCTCTTGGGTCTGTGCTTTTGCTCTCTCACTAGAAATTAAATCCACAGAAAATGTTTATTGAAAACTATGGGTTTAACCTCAGTTGTTTGCCTTGATTTTATGAAGATTATGTCATATTGAAGAACCAGATATATTCACAAATAGATTAAGTGTAAGCTATAAACTTATTAAACTGAAAAAGGTATTGACTATAATAAAAACTATACAAAACTGGTAATGAACTCTTCATGTATCCACACTCAACAGCCCCTATTTTTAAATAGTCTGATAGCCTCCTTCCTTTATGAGACAACTTTTAGATAGAGGTCGGTGGAGGTTGCTGAATTAAGAAGAAAACCTGGGTCAACTTACCTACCCTTGTTCAGGGCCCAGTGCAGATACTGAGCACAGTAACCCAGACATGTCCACTATTACCCTGCCTGTCCCAGGGACTGAACACTGGAAGACTTTGGAGCTCTTTCTCAGAAAGCTTTTAGGCATGTAAAAACATTTTTAGAGGCTAGCTTTTCTAAAATCATCTGCTTTAAAATTATTGATATCTGTGTTGACCATGATAGCCCATACTTGTAATGGCAGCACTCAGGAAGCT